GGGCTACAGGGAGGCCCTCTCTTAACCCCCCCCCCCAAAAAAAAGTTGATGTTCAGTCTTGTACATGTTTATGGGGTATAATAGAAAGGCAAGAGGTATTGCTATTGGCTGAATTAGTACCAGGCTCTTCTACAGGGCACAGTCTTCTTTGCTTAAAATAAGGGCCATCTGTGCATATGTTAGCATTATAAACCAGTGATGGGGATTGGGCTTACTATTGTGTACCACTACTAAGAGGCCAGGGTTGAATGCCCTTTGTCCATGTAAATTCTTAGTTTATAGTCTTATTTGATCCTTGAAGAGACAGGAAGTACAGTGACTCTCCTGAGGAGTCAGGTGGAGATGCTGTTGGCCTCCTACCCCATACCTCCTCAGTTAGGCAACAGTATCTTAGAGGATTGATGGTTGTTTTTCAATCACCACATCCTTTTTTCATGGACAGAGGAGTGTCTGTAGTCTGTCCTCGCAGCTGCCGCTGGGCAGGCCACTGACACCTAAAGTTTTAATGGTGTGTAATTACTATGAGGTTGGGTAATTAATTTCCTCCTAGTTTAATTGGGTTTTAGGGCTCTAAATCACTGAAGAAGTTTTGTTTAGATGTCTGTCTTTACAGAAAACATTTACCTATAAGTAGAATTTACTGAACTTGTTATCTATGTGAAATTTTTTCAATGCTGAAAACTCCAGCTATTCCAATTTTTTCCAAGGCGCTTAAGAACGTTTGAGGCAGTGTTAATTTGCAGAGCTCTGCTTTGCAAGAATACTATTGAAGTCTGATTCAAACTTGATTTCTTAGAACTGGAAATTTGTATTTTGTATGTATGTATGGAGGAAGCAACTTAAAACAGTATCAGAAAAAAACATTAGTTACTGAGAGAAAGTTAGAAAAACATGTATTACCAATGTTTTATGGTTCATAGGAACAATAATTTGCTTTGAAAGACCTGTTTTTCTTAAATGCTTACAATGTTTTAATAATCACTTTAATAATGTTGAAGTGATTTAAATGCATATTTAAAATAATGCTCAAGTGTTGAAATGCTTTACTAGGTTTTAAAAAATTTAAGTCTTAATTGGAACAGATGAGGACATTTTTTTTTTTTTGTCTTTTTGAGACAGGGTCTCCCTGTAGCTCCAGCTGTCCTGGGACTTACTATGTAGACCAGGCTGGCCTCCAACGCACAAAGATCTGCCTGCCTCTGCCTCCCAAGTGCTGGGATTAAAGGCGTGTGCCACCACACCGGCAGAGGACTTCATATTTTTATTTTGGTTAATTGAATTACCAACAAAATTCAACTAGAAATCCATTTTTTAAATTTTATTTATTATTTTTATTTTATGTGTATGAGTATATTGCCTGCATGTAAGTTCACCCGTGTCGTGCAATGCCAGTGCAGGACAGAAGAGGCTGTCGGATCCCCTGGAACTGGAGTTACAGACAGTTGTTTAGTTGCCATGTGGGGGCTACTATTCGAACCCGGGTCTTCTGCAAGAACAACCAGTGTTCTTAACCACTGAGCCATCTCTCCAGCCCCTAGAAATCCATTTTTATTTTTAGCTTATGATGAAAAAATAGTGACTATACTGAAATTGCTGTACACAGTTGTACTGTTTTCCCTGGGCTTTTATAGTGCTAGAGGGGTCAGGAGGGAGGAATATGGTCATGGAGGTTGTGATTCCTAGTGGCAACCCTGCTGTCCCTGAGGTGGTGGGAATCAGAGACTATACAGAGACTCAGAAAAAGTTACACATAGCAAGATGTCTTAATAACAATGTGTTTGCTCATTGAATTTTTAAATAACTTTAAGAACAAAGTTTCTTGATATAAATATTTAGATTTTATGAATTTCAAAAGTTTAACATCACATGAAATTGGAGTGGTTAGGTTTTTATGCATGTTATGTGTTCTCTCGAATATTTGAAAGGTATACTTTGAAACTGTTGTCTGAGGCATCTCTTCTGGTACTTAAAGGACTGTGCTGGCTTTCAGAAGTTGCTCTCCAATCTTTCTCTGCTACTTTAAAATATTTTCAAGGTTTCTTTAAAAAACACACATATGCTAAGCTAAGTTTTGCTCCTGGAAGAAATAATTCCTGTCTTGAACTTGATGTTGTATGTTTCGTCATTATCCTCATCTTGGGGGCATTCTGAGAAAATTAAAGCTCATTTGAATGCATCCTTTTTCGATTTGTAAGCCTTTGTTGTTTTATCTTACTTTTCAGCTTTACAGAATTAAACCAAGGACTTGGAGAAGGTGGCAGGTCTTTCTCTGACCACCCTAATGCCTTGTCTATTTTCTTACTAAGTATACATCTTATGCTTCTAGCATCTTATGTTAGGAACTCTTCTGAAAGCTCAGTTTGTCCACGTCACAGCTCATTTTACTGTTGTTTATTTGACACTGTTGAAATGTTTGCTTTTATTACAAGCAAAGCATGCCATTGTTACTGTGCTTTGGCACTGTGTCACATCTTAACTTGGTTATTTTGAGGGGCACACACCATACTCTTTAAGATGCACTCAGATTAAAATGAGAGCCAGAAGGGTGATTTATTTGTTCACATTGAAATATGGAAGCAGCTTTGACTAATGTGCAAAGATTAACTGTTACTGGAACAAATTCTCTGAGATGTTAGCAGCTATCTGCTCTTAAAGGATTCTTGCAGATACCTACTTGTGTGCTGAGTGCCCCTAATAACCAGGATGGGAGGGGGTATTGGGCACCTTAACTTAAAACTGTTTTCTTTTTTAGGTCCACAACTCCCAGGCCTGTTGCAGATCTCCAACTCCTGCTTTGTGTGACCCCCCAGCATGCTCTCTGCCGGTGGCAACACAGCCACCACAGCATCTTTCTGAAGCCGGGAGAGGGCCTGTAGGGGTAAGGAGAATCCCGTTTTTAAAAGCTATCAGTATTTTATATCCCATAGGGTATAAAATAGGTATATTACTTCCCCTCCCAGAGCCCCTTTAAAAATGTGCTGTATGATAATGTGTTTTTAAAAGAGTAACAAGTACATGCACAGAGGAAGCAAAATACGGGACTTGCCTTACCCCTCTAGGACAGTTCCAGAAGTCAGTGGGGTTTGGTGGAAGGGTATTTTGGCACCAGCAGAGAGCATGCTGGACTGCTGCAAGGAGCAGGAACTGGCAGTCAGCAGCGAGTATGGATGTTGACAACTGAAATGGGGGTAAAGGGGGTAAGTTTGAGTCCTGATGTGGAGTGTTGGAATGTGCATCTCCCTAGGCTCACTGGAACTCAAGGCCCACAAATCTAAGCTGTTTTGGCCACTGCCCTCTTGATGGGAGATGCATTGTAAAGGGTTATTTAGAGGAGATGAGGCCTTAATGTAATGCAAGCAGGGAAGGAAGCTTTTCAGTGGGCTGGGCCAGGTGGCTCTGTCTCTTCCAGCTGTGCCCTGGTGTCCCTCTGTTATTGGTGAGGAGGTTGGATGTATGAGATGCAGCTGGATGCAGTGGTTGTGTTCTACCCCTAGAACCCAGGGCCCACCCAGCTGTGGTAATCATTCATAAGGGCTCTCTGTGTTCTGCTCGCTTCCTTTTATGGAATCTGTGTGCATTCTTGTCTTTGTCTTCCTTTCTCTTCCCTTTATGGCAACTTAATGGTAGCTTTTCTGGGAGACAGATGTTTATGGCTCTGAATTGAGTGCCCAAGACTACTCATTAATCACTAAACAGGACTGATCTGACTGGTGGGCTTAAATTTGTACTGAATTAGAAAGTAACACAAGAATATAGCCTTCTCTCTCTCTCTCTCTCTCTCTCTCTCTCTCTCTCTCTCTCACACACACACACACACACACACACACACACACACACAGGTAGTGCAGATGAATTGTTGGTGCACGAGGACTGCTCAGTTACAGTGTACAGTATTAGTGTCCTGGCATGAAGAAGAGATAGTTCTCGTGTGGGCTGTAGCATGTGGGCAAACTTTGTGAAGGGAGTTAGAATTGAGCTGCGTACTTTTTTTGCTGTTTATTTTTATTTTATGTGTACGAGTGTTAGGCCTGTATGTGTAGCGCACCTGTGTCGTGCAGTGCCCATGGAGGTCAGAAGAGGGCATCAGATCTCCTGGAACTGGAGTTATGGACAGTTGTTAGCTGTCATGTGGATGCTGGGATTCAAACCAGGGTCCTCTGCAAGAGCAGCCAGTGTTCTTAACTGCTGAGCCATCTCTCTGACATGGGTACATTTTTGATACGTCAGTGTGATGTGGGTAGAGCAAAGCGGAGGAGCCTCCAGGTGTACATCCAGTCTGCTCCTATAAGCAGTGTAGACATCGTGCCTGGTGATGCCGAGAGTTGTGGGAAGGCATAGGAAGAAGGCATGACGAGCACAAGCTCGTGGGTCCTGGAGGCAGAAGTGGAGATAGAAAATAGGCTCAGATCTCAGAAGCCTGGGAGGTTAGGAAAGTTAAGGCTTTCGGGATTGGCAGAAAAAAGTTTTGAAGGCTTAATTAAGAAAAATTAATTCTGAACAAGCTGTCTTACAGTCATTGTTTTAGAACAGTCACAGAGCAACAGTATACAGTGCAGAAAGGGGAAAGCTCTGACGGACATTAGAACTGACACTCCTTTGTAAGTGAAGAGGAACAAGCCAGGAGAGATTGCTATTAATAATTGTAACAAGCTGAGTATGGTGGCTCATCCCTGTACTTGGGAGGCTGAAGTAGGAAGATTGTTGTGAGTTTGAAGCGAGCCTGGGCTACAAAATGACAACCCCCCCCTCCACACACCAATAATAAAATCAAGAATAACTGTTGAAACAACAAAGTCATGTGTAAGTAGTTGCCGTCATAACTGGAGAATTAAATCCACATAATCAAAGGACCCACACAGAAGCCCTGGATTCTTTGAGATGATAGGCACACATGGTACAAGGTGGAGCCTAGCACCACAGATAAGTGTAAGGCTCACCCTTGGAGCAACCTCCTGACATCTGAAGGGACAAATTAGTAGAGGATGACTGCCTACTCATAGATCTAATACAGTGTAATGAGAGAGCTACTGGGAGGAAAAATTGATTACAGGGTAACAGACAATAGCATGAACATTCCTTGCTGTGATACACGAGATGTCTTCCCTAATAGACTATTTTTATTAATTTAGTTTGTACAGGGTAGCATTCATTGCATCATAATTTAGCTCTATTTGCACATTCAGGTGTATGTAGTCTGTGGTTCATTACTAATGGTGGCATAAAGTCAACAGATTTATTTTTATAAAAATAAAAAAAAATAACTTACCTTTTCTTTTCAGTATCTGTGCTGACTTATCAAGAATTAGTCAGCTTGGATGTTTTCTAACAAAAAGAACTATGTTTACTGGTGATGGTGGGGAGGAATGAGGGATGAAGAAAGGCAAAGGTCCCATTGCCTAGGTTCTCTTTGGAGTGATCAGAGACCATTCTACCCTGTCCCATACCCAGCTGACTCAAAGCATATGGCAGCAGGTAGAGGCTAGACCCAAAGTGCCAGTGGCGCTGCCCCTTGCAGGGGCTTCAACCTACCTTAATTTCCATTGTCCCGGACGTGCCTGTGCCAGGCTGCATGTGGGCTGTACCTGCCATCCTCAATGCTAGGAGAATGAACACATTTAATTATTTAGGGTTAACTTTATAAAGCAAATAAATTTATTATTAGCATTATATGTATGTGTGTATATATATTTATATATTTATATGTTTGAGACAAAGTTCTCTTGACTCAGTCCTCCTGAGTGCCAGCATAATGTAATATTTTAAAATTTTAGCCATGAACTTTTGCTGGGTAGCAGTAGCAGTTGGAGGGCCAGTGAGACGGCTCAGATCAAGGTGCTTGCTGCTAAGTCTGACAACTTGAGCTCAATCCCTCGTTCCCACAAGGTGGAAGGAGAACCAATTCCTGTGTATTGTCTTCTGACAGCCACACACTCTCCTTGTGGTACTGGTGCTTGTATGCAAACTCCCACCCCCCAAAGTAAAGCCAGAGTTTAAAACTTACATATCTTTATAAACCATTAGCTTTGGTTTTGGTGCGGTTTCCTTTGGGGCACTTTTTAACCCTGTTCCTGTGTAACATTAGTTATACTTCAAGCCCTTAGTTTTCTCCCTTGTAAAATGAGAATAATGCAACTGCCCACCCTAAAAAGTTGCAAGTAAAATGAAACAGTTTTTAAAATTCCTTAGCATAGTACATTGATTAACCATTGGGATATGTTCTGAAAAATGTATTGTTAGGTGATCACTGCAAGCATCGTGGACTGTGCTTGCTCTAACCTGAGTCATAGTGTAGTCCACATGGGGACTATGTATACCTACTGCTCCTAGGCTTCACACCTGTTCAGTGTGTTGGGTACTGAATAAAGTAGGCAGCTGTAGCACAGAAATACTAGATGATGAGAATCCATTATATGCATTGTGCAGTAAAGTGTTGGCCAAACTCTGGTTTGGTACATGGCCTGTACTCAGCATTTAGCAAACATACATTAAGCATTAGCTATGAAAAACCAGGTATGGTAGCTCATGCCTGTAATCCAAGAACCCAAGAGGTCAGGGCAGCAGGAGCACAAGTTCAGAGTTTGGATTGAGCTGTATGGAATTCCAGACCACCATGGACTACATATCCCATAAACAGGCAAGGCTGGCGAGATGGCTCAGTGATAAAGGCACCTGCCTACAAGCCTGATAACCTGAATTCAGTCAACACACATGCTGGAGGGAGAGGACTGACTCCCCAAAATTGTCCTCTGTCTTCTCCATGTACCATAGTATGTGCACATAGATACTCAGCTAGATAGGTAAAATATAAAAACAAATAATAAAAATAAAAAACCAGACAAACTCATCTACCCATGAAACTTCTGATTTGTACAAATTCTGGCTTAAGAAACATTAGGTTTCTAGACTAATAAATCTTAATCTGATAGTCTTAGGTTTCTAGTTAATCTCCGAGTTTAAGAAGGTCCAGTGAGCCTGGTGTGGTGATGCGTGCCTTTAGTTTCAGCACCCTGGAGGCAGATGCAGGCAGATTTCTGTTAAGTTTGAGGCCAGCCTGATCCTACATTTGAGTTCCAGGCCAGCTAGGGCTGTAAGGAAACCCTGACTCAAAAAGACATACACACACACACACACAAAAAAAAAAAAAAAAAAAAAAAAAAAAAAAAAAAAAAAGAAGGTCCAGTGAATTTTCTGAAATTGCTTGCAAAGCCTTACGTATATACATTTCTTCTGGTAAGATCATCTATAACTTCTTATTATAGATGCTAATCAATATAAGCCAAGTGTAGTGATGCACATGTGTAGTTCTAGAGTTTGCAATGGAAAGGCAGGAGGATCACTTGAGCCCCTGAATTTTAGCCCCAAGCAGCATAGCAACACACACTTACAAACACAGGCACACAAACTTCTCCTTTGCACAGGTTCCTTGATGGGTCATTTAGGAACTGGAAATCAGCCAGCTGTTGGGTGAAGCCATTGATTGTGTACTTTCTGTCTCGGCATTCTTGATTCTTCAGAGTTTGCTGTGTCTGACAAGATGACTCAGTGGGTGAAGGTACTTGCCACCAAGCTTGATGATCAGAGTTTGATCCCTGAAACCCACATGGTAGAAAGAGAGGTGACTCCAGCAAATTGTCCTCTGACTTTTGAATGTGTGTTATGGCATGTAGGATGTGATACATGAGGCCCCCGGCCCCAGTAAATAACTGTTTTAAAAAGCTTTTATAAAGATTTTAAACTTTGGTGTCAGGAAGGTAGCTCAGTCAGTGATGTCATTTGCCTTGCCAACATGAGGACCTGTGAGGATAGACAGTTCATCCTAAAAAAGGCCAGATAGTATACGCTTAGAGTCCCTGTGCTGAGAAGGCAGAAGGAAGTCAG